TATATATAGTCACCTTTTTATTAGTCTAGGCCTACCTTAGCCTGGCCCTTGCCTTCCTACGCAGTTCCGCTCAATTCTAGTTTCCCTTCACTGCTCCGTCTGGGATTTCTCCCATTGAGATGGATTTCTTCAGGAGCATTTCGTCCGGGCCAATCAGAGAACACAACATTGATTTTCTGYGCAGTGTCTSCTTGTAGTTTATTTTACCTGGGCCAATCAACGAACAAAAGGCGGAGTTGTTGATTTTCTGCGCAGTGTCKGCTAGTTATTTTAGCATACGGCAGTGGAGGAAGTGAATGACGTCTGTCCGTGTTGATAAGGCTTCAAATTAAATTAAATTTGTCTGACAAAGCAGCAGCTCTCATTTACAGTCATCACGTTCAGCTCGGTACTTCTCTCCTCTCAGTAGGGTTGTTTACAGCACACGCAATTTCCGGTTAGCTTCTTAGCTTAGCCTCCTTCACAGGGGAGCTGGCTTACACATAGGTCACAGCCATCATATCCAACCATTTTAAACTTCAGCAGAGGCCACGACTCTAGCAAGAATCACTTCTCTATAGCCGAGAGTCCAGACCCTCGTACGAAGCAAAGTGAAGGACAAGGGTCTGGTTTTTACCAGGCTAGGCCTACCTCAAAATGTTTCCTCTTCTTCCTGTGGGGTCACTTGAGTTCAGTAGGACTAAGACAGATTTCTGTTAAGACTGCCAAATGTATGTAGGTAAAAGTGCTCCACACTTTCAAATGTGGTTCAAAAACATTTTAAATGTGGTCACAATCGGATAACTCAAATTTGTTTTAAAGAACATGTGAGCAATTCCTTGGACTACAAGACCCCAGGTATTGTGGCTGCAGAACAAGTTATCGGCCCTTCACAACTGTGCACATTCACAGTAGTAGACAACAATGGTCACCATTTTATTTCCAGATAATATTTACTTAAAAAGCCAATGAAGAACTTATTCTTCCATGCTAAAACAAAACATTTTCAGGATTGTCTGTTTGTATCATGCTAAGTCAATAAATGGATTCTTGAACAAAGAAATATTTTACCATATCAAACAGGTGTTTTTGGACAGTATGTTGAGTTGAATTGAGTACTTTTTTTGTAAAACATAACACTCAGGTGTTTTTGGACAGTATGAGTGTTATGTTTTACAAAAAAAAGTACTCAATTTCAGGCAGAAACTGATTAGACTCAAGGGGAAAGATTTAAGTGTTTTATTTACAGTGATCACAATCCTGAAATGGAAGGATGGCTGATTAGTTCAGAGCTGAGGAGGTTCAAGGTAAGTGTAAATGTTTTCTTTATCTTACAGGTTTTCATCAAGGGGGCAGACTCAGAGGAGGAGATGGTGGAGGTCCAGGAGGGAAGTGTCACACTAAAAGAGATTTTATTAACAGCAGATCTATTTTCAGGAAAGCAAGAATGGCAGGACAAAGGAGAGTGGTGACTAGAAGGGAGCCCAGGATTTCCACAATCGGTCGAGGTTTATTGAAGGATCCAGAACCAGAATTTCCAGGTAGGTCAATAAGGTTTTTTCCTTGGAGACACAGAGGACAAGAAAATGCAAAAACACTAATCCTAGGAGTTTCTCAGAGAAGATTTTAACAAGAGGCTGTTACAAACAGTACCAAGGTGACCGAATGATTCCACGAGGACTGGATCTCTCTCAGAGGCTTAACAGCTGGGCTCATCAACTGAATCAGGTGGAGGTGTTTGATTGAAGGCT